CTTTCTTTCTTTCTTTCTTCTCCCAAATGTTTACATTAGTCATGCCGCATAGCGCAATAACACGAACCCCGTTGTTCAACTTTTATTCATCCTTTTTTTCAACTAACTCTTATAGAAACATTTATATTGCCGAGTTTCAAACAACACTGCAGATAGCAGCAGCAATATCAGGCTGAAATCAGGCTGAAAATAATAAACCTATACCATATTATTGTTTAATGTATACCATCTTTCGGCCTCTCGTATTGTTCAACTAAGCAAATATTTAATCGGCTTTCAAAACCGTTTTTTAATTTTTCAAAAAATCTCCTAGAATTCTTTCTTTGTAACGAGCAGTTGAGACATTTTAATAGATGGTAAAAAAGAAATATATTGATACAAAAAAAAAATTTTTTTTCATCTGATTCTAACGTTTCGAGGACACATCTAAAAAGAAAAATTTTGTCTGTACATCGATTTAACATAACAACAAATAACTATGTATTCATAACTGAAATATCAGCCATATGTTGAGGTAACTGGAATTCAAAAAATACCCTATTCAATCAAAATCACAGCCAACCACTTGATTTTAGACCAAAAATAGTTTGTAGAACAAAAGTTCGAGAAATTAATTTTGGCAAATACGATGTTTATTTGTGCGTCTGTGTGTGTTATCGCTAGAGAGTTGATCGGCAAAGTAAAACTGTACAGTAAATCAATGATAATAAGCATTTTTCCCGTCTAGAATTCTGATCTCCTAATACCAGTAAAAGAAAAAACAAAAAATTTTTTTCACATTAGACAATACAAAGAACCCTTCTCAAGAGTAATGTGCATTAGGAAGCCCATAACAACATAAAGTACAGATCCACTCTAAGCTAAAACCTCATGATCATACCAGTTAACTAAAATCTTATAAATCGAAAAACGGCAAAAACGTAAGAATAAATAAATGAATAAAAACAAAAAAAAAAGGTGGATGAACCATTTCAATGTTATACGCTCTTAAGTTGGATTTATGTCGTTAAACAAAATATATAAAACAGTTTTTTCATTTTTTCAAGAAAAAAACCGTTTTAAGGTTTTTGCAACAGGCTAAGCTATAGTTCAAAAAGAATACTAACAAGAATTAAACAGTTTCAAAACAATCTATACCATCATTCTGCGGTCAGTTTGCTAAAGAATTTCACAATTATGACATCCTGGAAAAAAAAAAAAAAAAAGTCATAATTCAATTTTATTATTTCAACTAATGCAATTCTAAAACTGCAACTGCAAATTGCTTAACAAAAAATAAACAAAAAAAGTTAACCAACCAACGATTACAAACTTTTAAATTATGATCTTTTTTTAATAGATCAATTTTGTGAAAACATGACAACCAGTAACACTAAACCAAAAAAAGAAAATGCTGTGAAGATTTTTACAAATAACTTCAGGTGGGGAGGGGG